ACCAGCAGCCACGTGGCTGCCTCCCACCTAGCTGGACACACCCATGGGCGGGTGAGGACACCAAGGCAGCACTGCACATCTGCATCTCTGAGCCGGAGCAGCTGGTAGGCTTCGGAGACTTCGGGCTTCTCCCAACCCTTCATTCTCTCTTCATCTCAGGTGGAAGAGGTGCTCTCCACACCCTGCGTCTGACAGGACCTCGCCCAAGTCAACGACTACTAGTTTCTGCAAACCTTGCAGGTTCTCAGAGGCCTCTCCGCTCTTAAGCCTCTCCTGGATGGGACCGCACCCCACGTTTGTCCAGGAGCAGGGGTAAGATGGGGTTGGGGTCCCCATAGGGGGAGGGACGTCCCGTGTGTGTGAGGGACGGGATGGAGAGGTTCCTGTGCAGGAGAAGGCGGTGAAATGGTACTGGGAGGTCAGTCAAGAGGGGCTGAAACACTATTGGGGAGAAGGAAAGGGAGACCTTAGGCAGAGTAGGTCCCCTGAGGTCCCCTCTATATCCAGCCCAGGCTGCTACCCCCAGTGGGCCCCACCTCACTTTGCCATGGTCTTCTGGGCTGTACCAGGTCCTTTCCTCCAACTGGACTGAGAACAACTCCGTCCTCCCACTCTGGGGCCATGGATATCCTGCTGGCTGCAAGAGCCCTGTGGTGGGGCCGCCCACGCTGCCAGGTTTCCGAGCACCTCGTCTGAAGCCCCTTGCCCACTCCTTGGCCTCCCTGGTGGCCCACTTGGCTTCTTGGCACATTAATCTCACTCCGCACCTCCAGGGTGTCACCCATCTGGTTGGTCCGTTTGCAGCCGCCCATGGTTGGCAGTGACCCCTGGTGGCAGCCAGGTGCATGGCTGCTTGTTACCATCCCAGGATCACTGGGGGGAGTGTATCGCATAGTCCCTGAGGCAGGTCACAGGACTGTGGCCCAAGTCTAGTCCCTCCTGTGTGGGGACCCCTGCCCTTCATTGATGAGAATAAAAGTGACTTTCACCAGGTTTCCTTCTCAGGCCTGAACATGGGCATCTGTTCCTTTTCCAGCTTCTTGCTTTTTGTTTTGCCAGAGGGTGTATGTACTCATCAGAGAGAGAGAGAAAGAGAGAGAGAGAGGAAGTGAGAAAGCAACTTCTATGGGTATTGGTCCCACTGCAATCCCTTCTCCATGTTTTGCTCCTTTTGAGATTTTGGGCCCACACACGTGCACAGGCCCAATGACTTTCAGGCTGCTGGTTCTAGAGCTTGAAGCACAGGGTTGGCCGTATGGGATCCAGCTGCCTTAATCACTAGGCACAGGCTGTGGTTACAGGGCTTGGGCACTCACCAGAGACTCTAGAGAGAGACAGAGAGGAGAAAGCAGCCCCTATGGGGAACGGTCACGCCACAGTCTCTTCTCTACTTCTCTCTCCTTCCTGGGATATTTTGGGCACAGTGTTCAGTGCATTTCCTAAGCCTCTAGGTCTGGAACTTGAACCATGTAGTCAGTCATGGGATCCAGCTGCCTTAACCACCAGGCCACAGGGCTGCCCACACACTTTTTATCTTTTATGTAGAATTTATTCCTGTGCTTTGTTTCTTCAGGGATATCTATTTTTTTTTCTATGCAACCTCCTTTTCAGTGAGGGTCATCTCGATGTGGCCCATGAGCTCTGTAAGTACGATGGCACATCTTGGTGCCTTGTCACCTGAATGTGCTCAATGACTGGAGAATCTACATCTAACCCCTTGAGTTCAGCATTATTCTCTGCATTTTTAAGCATTTGCAGCAAAAAGCACTCTCCTTGGGCCACCGACCTTGTGCCCAGCCTCACTGTATGGCCTGGGCTCATGTACCAACTCCACCATTGTAACAGCAGATGGCACAGACTTCTGTAAGGTGACATCTTTCAGAGACTTGGTGGCTTTCTGGATCTGCATACCCTGGATAGCCTGGGCAGTTTCACAGATGTTCTTAAAATGAACACAAACATTTGAACCTCCTGATTTACATGACATTGTGGTGTTTTCTGGTCCAGTGAATAATAAATCATTTTCAAAGATCACCTCAGACCTCTTTTGAGAAGAGGAAGAGCG